AATTCACTTGTCGCTCCTTTGATTTTGAAATAACGAAAAAAAAACTGGAAAAAAATAATTAAAATCCTACATTAAGACCTTGAACGAATTCCGGGAACTTTGCAAATGTCATGTCAGCATTTCAAAATGCCAGACGATTACAATGGACTTACACACTTGTTGTTAGTGTTGTTGCAAATCTCCTTGTCGCAAGCAAGTAAGCAAGAAACACGCTACCGCTACCATACCGCCCACTTTTTTCCAGGAATTTCAGAAAATACAAAATCCAACTACTTGGAGCAGCAATTGAGGTAGGATTATTTGGTGCCGGGTCCGCAGGTGTGGGTGTATGAATGTGAGTGTGTGGGCCGATGTTGGTAAATAATGTATGACATTTTTGTAAATCCAAGTAGTACAAACACGCAATAACGACAACGAAAACCGAGCAGACCAGGTGACTCATAACAACAATAATAGAAAGTACAAAAAAAAAAAAAAATAAATAAATAAAACAAAGAACCACTCAAACGGACGCACATACATGTATGTGTATGTATCTATGTGTGGATATTCGTGGCTACATTGTATTCAATTGTTTGCATGGTGATGACAACGTCTGCCATTGATGACGTGTGTGCGGGAACTTTATGACAGCCAGTGAATTAATGTTTGCCAAAATGTCTAGCCAAATGCAGCAGAGTCTTCCGATGATAATGAATGAGCGAAATGTAATGGGAAATTTTTGAAGAAGCGGTTAAATGGAACAGCAATCTTCCCTTAGATACAAATATATGAATGACTAAAAGGGGTTTACAGGGTGAGATAAAAAAACTGCAACAAAGTTAAACGCCATAGTTTTTATACCCTCCACCATACTATGGAGGGTATATTAATTTTGTCATTCCGTTTGTAACTCCTCGAAATACTCACGTCAGACCCAACAAAGTATATATATTCTTGATCAGCGTAAAATTCTAAGACGATTTAGCCATGTCCGTCTGTCTGTCTGTGTGTCTGTCTGTCCGTCTGTCTGTCTGTCTGTCTGTCTGTCTGTTGTAATCACGCTATCTTTCGAACAAATTGAGATAGAAGGCTAAAATTTTGCACACATGTATATTTAGCCAGTAGGCAGGTTAAGTTCGTAAATGGGTCATGTAGGTCCAAGTTTTCATATAGCCCCCATATAACTGTACCTCTCGATATTCGGTATTTTGATGATTTTAGCGACATTATTCACCGGAATTGTTTCAAATTTGGCATTTGAAGTTCGTAATGGATACTACAGCCTAAGACAGAAAATTATCTGTGCAGGTCCACGTCTTCGTATAGCCCCCATATAATGGTACCCCCCGATATTCGGTATTTTGATGATTTTAGCGACATTATTTAACGGAACCGTTCCAAATTTGTGTATTTGAAGTTCGTAATAGATACTGCAGCAGAAAACAGAAAATGGGCCATGTAGGTCCACGTCTTCGTATAGCCCCCATATACCGTACCCCCCGATATTCGGTATTTTGATGATTTTAGCGACATTATTTAACGGAACCGTTCCAAATTTGGTATTTGAAGTTCGTAATAGACACTGCAGCAGTAAACAGAAAATGGACCATGTAGGTCCACGTCTTCGTATAGGCCCCATATACCGTACCCCCCGATATTCGGTATTTTGATGATTTTAGCGACATTATTTACCGGGATTGTTTTAAATTTCGCATTTGAAGTTCGTAATGGATACTTCAGCCCATGCCAGAAAATTGTCTGTGCAGGTCCACGTCTTCGTATAGCCCCCATATAACGGTACCCCCTATATTCGGTATTTTGATGATTTTAGCTACATTATAAACAAATTTTTCTTCAAGTTTCGCATTTAAATGTTGTAATAACTTATGAAAAAAGTTGCCTATGCAGGTATACGTCGTCGTATAGACATTCGGTATTTTTAAGATTTTAACAGAATTTTTAAAGGATTTTTTTTTATTTTATTTATTTTTTTTTTTTTTGGAAATTGCCAAATTTATACCAAATGGTGGAGGGTATTAAAAGTTCGGCCCGGCCGAACTTACAGCTTTTTTACTTGTTTCATTTATTTTTATACCCTCCACCATCCTATGGAGGGTATATCAACTTTGTCATTCCGTATGTAACTCCTCGAAATACTCATGTCAGACCCAACAAAGTATATATATTCTTGCTCAGCGTAAAATTCTAAGTCGATTTAGCGATGTCCGTCTGTCTGTCTGTTGTAATCACGCTATCTTTCGAATGAATTGAGATAGATGGCTAAAATTTTGCACACATGTTTATTTTTCCAGTAGGCAGGTTAAGTTCGTAAATGGGACATGTAGGTCCACGTTTTCATATAGCCCCCATATGACGGTACCTCCCGATATTCGGTATTTTCATGATTTTAGCGACATTATTCACCGGAATTGTTTCCAAATTGGTATTTGAAGTTCGAAATGGATACTACACCCTAGGACAGAAAATTGTCTGTGCAGGTCCACGTCTTCGTATAGCCCCTATATAACGGTATTTTGATGATTTCGGTATTTTGATGATTTTAGCGACATAATTCACCGGAATTGTTTCATATTTGGCATTTGAAGTTCGAAATGGATACTACACCCTAAGACAGAAAATAATCTGTGCAGGCCCACGTCTTCGTATAGGCCCCATATAACGGTACCTCCCTATATTCGGTATTTTGATGACTAGCGACATTATTTAACGGTATTTTTTCAAATTTGGCATTTGAAGTTCGAAATAAATACTACACCTTAAGACAGAAAATTGTTTGTGCAGGTCCACGTCTTCCTATAGCCCCCATATAAGGGTACCTCCCAATATTCGGTATTTTGATGATTTTAGCGTCATTATTCACCAGAGTTGTTTCAAATTACGTATTTGGAGTTCGTTATGAGAACTACAATCTGTGACAGGAAATTGTCTATGTAGGTCCAGGTCTTCGTATAGGCCCCATACATCAGTACCTCCCTATATTCGGTATTTTGGCGATTTTAGGTACAATACCCATCGAAATTGTTTGAGATGTGGTAGTTGAAGTTCGTAATGGATGCTACAGCCTGTGACAGATGATTGTCTATGCCGGTGCAGGTCTTCGTACAGCTCCAATTTAACGGCACCTCTTTATATACGATATTTTGATGATTTTAGCTACATTATTCACTGTTTATTTCAAGTTTCGAGTTTGAATATGGTAATGGCTTATGACAAACACTGCCTATGTAGGTCCACATCGTATAGACCCCAATAGACGGCTATATTTGGTATTTTTAAAATTTTAACAGAATCTCTTAAGAATTTTATTTTTTGAAAATTTTTAAATTCGTTCCAAAAGATGGAGGGTATTCAAAGTTCGGCCCGGCCGAATTTACTGCTTTTTAAATTGTTAAATATTATTGAATGAAAGCCAAAAATTTCGAAAAGAGCATCAAATTTTAGAATATATTTAGATTTGATCGAATTGGTCATATTTGGCACGAATTATTGCCTTTAAGCGGCCAATGAAACACGCTGCCCGAATGTTGCTCTGGGGTAAGTTGGTCTATTTCCGGCGAAACGCTTGCTTGAGGTGATCGACACTTTGGTATTTATTAGTGCCAACCTTACTTTCCAAAATACTGCAGACACAATAGTCCAACGGATTGGCCACCGGAGATTTTGATGGCCATTGTACGCTGGAAATGAAGCGAGGATCTCATTTTGTAACCATTCTTGGGTGGCGCGTGCTGAGTGCGATTGTGCTGAGTCATTCCAATGAGTCATTGGAAGGTCTGCGGCCAAAATGTTTGCGTGCCCAAGGATTTAATACACCCTCCAGAATATTTTCGCGATAATAGTCGGCATTTATTCTGATGCCACGGTCGAGCGGAGAACAACCATCTTCTGTTATGGCAGCCCACACCATCGCCATGACCGGCGCTTGAGTTCTGGTGGCCAACCGAAGGTGTACATTTATAGCTGACCCTTTAGCTCTTTTGAGTCTATTTGCGTTCGGTTGCGGTGTAAGTTCTTGCACTTTTTGGAATTTCAATGGCTTTACCCCGAGCTCATTTTTTAGTATTTGCCATTTTTCGGCCACTGCGATGTGGGTTTCGATCAAGTCACTTCTTTACTTTTCGAACCATATCGGCTGATGTTGCTGTTTTCTTCCGTCCACTTCCTTGAAGTCGGGCTACGCTACCAGTATCACGGTAACGGGCGATGGTACGAGACGCAAAAAATTTATTCACATTTAAATGCTGGAGTGCTCTAACGATAGCCACTTGTGGTTTTACAGCCAAATATAAAGAAATCACACTCTTTCTTTTTTATACATTTTTCCTCCGTCTTTTTTGGAGATTCCGACTGAAAGTAAAATAAAATTTCGTTTTAGGCTAAAGGTATCAAAAAAAGAAAAACAAAAATCTAGAAAAATTCACTGTGGGCTTTGGAAAATACCAATACCAATCTCAGGCCAAAATTTCTTGAGGTCCTTATATAGACTTGGTGAAGCAAAAAGGGACCCCAATATGTTGAGATATATTTCGCAACATTTAATTTAGAGGTTTGAAAACTTATATATGGATATACGATATTGTGGACCTATATAGACAATACTCATCCAAGAGGTAAAGTACTCAGAAGTAACTCCTCGTGTGGATTTCCAGACAAATTTGGCTACAATCATCAAAATAACGAATATCGGGGGGATACCGTTATATGGGGGCTATATGATATCGTGGACCGATATAGCCCATCTTCAAACTTGAACTGCCTACAGACAAAAAACTGATCTGTGCAAAATGTTAGCTTTCTATCTTAATTCGTTTTGAATTTTACGCTGATCAAGAGTATATATACTTTGAAAGTTCTAAAATTATTATTTCGATAAGTTACAAACGGAATGAAGAACTTTATATACCCTGCATACTATGTATGGGGGAGGGTATACAAATGAATTCCCACTGATTGAATTGCATATTTAATGAAATATTTATTTTTTAATTCCTTTTCAGGAAAATGGAAGATCAGTTCCTGATGTTACGGCAAGCCCGGGCCGTGCGCCGCCCGGACCATTGCCATCAAATCAAATGCAAACGATGGTCAATCAGCAACAACAGCAGCAGCAACAACATCAACAACAGCAGCAGCAACATCATCATCAACAACAACAATCACAGCATCAACAACATCATCAGCAACGACAGGGCGGTTCCAAAGAACCGGTACTACTGCAGGGTGATTTCCGGAAGGTCTCGGGTATTAGTTCAGAGATTTTCCGGCAGATAGAAGCTGTTGAAAATGATCACGATCCGAATACAGCGGCCGCCTTGGAGGTAGAAAGATATGTTTCTAAACTCGAGTTAAAATTAAAATCTTGCCTTCTTTTTTTAGGCGGTCGAGAGACGGGGTGAAATGATTGTACGCATCTTGGAGCCCCATAGCATTGGAGGCAAACAGGCCGTAGATGCAGCCCATAAATTATTGGCCAAGAAAGATAATCGACACATAGTACAGGTGAGATTTTTGGAACTTTGGGAAATTTTTCAAAAAAAAAAAAATCTCATTATTGTTGCAATTTTGTTGTAGTTGGTGGAAATCGTCAAGAGACCCGGTCAGACCTTAGGTTTATATATTCGCGAGGGAAATGGTGCCGATCGTACAGATGGTGTATTCATTTCACGCATTGCCATCGAATCAGCGGTGTCGAATAGTGGATGCCTGAAGGTGTGTTGGTACTCTCTTTCCTTGTACCTCTCTCTCTTTTTTGAGAAATGAGAAACACCCAAATATTTACTGATTTTCTTTAACATTTAGGTGGGCGATGAAATTCTGGCCGTGAATTTAGTCGATGTCACACACATGTCCCTGGACGACGTTGTCATAATAATGTCAATTCCACGACGTCTAGTGTTGGCCATACGACAGCGTTGCGGCAATCGTGGCACCGGTTCACCGGGCCCACCTTCCATGTCCAGACCCGAGCAGAAGCCACCACCGGTTGTTGTCATGAAACGTGACCTGCGAGACGAGGAGCTAGACGAGACTGATCACATGTCAAGATCCCGTTCATCACGCGAAAGACGTACAGGTATTTGATATTGTTGCTTGGTTGTGATATATTAAGTTTGGTCTTTTTCTCCTCTCTCTCTTTTTGGGGGTGTAGGTGATGGCCGTGAGATGTCCGAGTCACGTTCCCGCCTAGGTCTGGGCCTTAACAACTATAGTCCGCAATCGGAACAATTGGATATGTACTATAATACACGCCCGGGCATGGAACCACCTAATTGGGGCTATAAACCACCACCACCGCCATCCTCAGTCATTACGGAACAGCCGAAGGGTCATCAGTTTGCTCCATCACATGCGTATTACAAGAATGCCGGTACGCTAGAGAGTTTGGCGGAGAAGGTGCATTCTTTCTATCCAGGAGCACCGCCATCTCGTCGCTTGTCGGTGGGTAATGTACCGCAACGGGCACGTTTCCCTCGATCCGGTTCCGATCAGCATTTGCCTCGCGTAGAATATGCCGACTATTCGAATTCATTGGGTCGCCACTCATTGCTAAGGCCAAGTTTGAAACCCAGCGGTGGTTCGGTGATTATGGGTCCGGGTGGCACACTGGGCCGTTATGGACGATACGATCCACATTCAAATGCCAAATATGGGCCGAGTGGTACTCAGTCCCTGACCCGACGATCAAGACCCAATTTGGATTATTCCAGTGATACAGAGGCAACGGTTGGACCGCGGCCCAATTATTACTACTATAACCGGCCTGCCATCGCCAGTATGCCTCGTGGTGCCGGGGCACCGGGCGGTGCTTCTGTACTGGGTGGAGGGCCAGATATGGCTAAGTTCAATTCACTGCCAAGAGATCGACCCGGTGTACGTTTACCGGGTATACGGTCACGTATAAGCGATCGCATAATGGATGAAAGTGATGGCAATATTTCGGCGCCCGAGTTCAATGCCAGACGGGATCGGGATTTGAGATCACGCATCACAGCCAGTCCCCAGTCCATATTTACATCGGATGAATATCGAGCCTGGTTACGAAGGGCACCCAGCAGTTCTGCCATAGCCGAACAGATGCGTATGACAAGGGATTTGTTAAATCAGCCGAGGTCACATCGATTCTCATGCAGTGCCGAGAACATACACGATGCTCTGAGAAATGTAAGTCAGGAAGTCGTAGCGCTGTTAAGATTGTGTCCTAATCAATTTTCTTGTTTTTCTTTCAGACGGAAAGCATTTACTCCAGTCGAACGGGTATACTGGGAGCCGGTACCCTGGATCGCCACTTGGGTATGCCCCGGCCCATTTCTTCACTGCCAGTGCGTTCCATGTCATCCCAGCACATAGGTGGCCCCAATTCAATACGTTCCCCCAGCATTCGTCGCATGCGCCAACTACTCGAACTCTCAGCTGGCCCAGCCAGTCCCAGTGGCAGCATTATGAGTACCGGAGGCCATCAAAGTCCGGCGCCCACCCCCAGTGCCACACTGCCGCGACCACATCGACAAATCGACATTAATCCTGCAGAGTTCAGCAAATACAAGCTAGACAAACCAATAGTTGATATTGGCGGTGTATCAGGTATGTTGTGGATTCACCTGTTAGCGGGCCGTGGCCTACGTTCGGCACCCGAACTGGGACCACAGCACGGTGCAGGAGGACAACATCTACCGGCGCCCACACGTGATCTGTACTGTGTGATAGAGTGCGATCGCGTGCACAAGGCCCGTACTGTGGTACGTTCCGGGGACTTGCAATTCGATTGGGATGAGTCATTCGAACTCGATCTGGTTGGGAATAAGCAACTGGATGTTCTCGTCTATTCATGGGATCCACAACATCGACACAAGTTATGCTATCGTGGAGCCATATCACTGTCAACGATACTACGGCAATCACCTCTACACCAACTCGCCCTCAAGGTGGAGCCACGCGGTACCATCTATATACGTATGCGTCACACCGATCCCATAGCTCTGTACAAGCGTCGTGGTTTGCCTAGTTTACGGGCTGGTTATCCCACCCTATTCGGTGCTGATCTTGAGACTGTGGTGAATCGCGAGTCGAAGGGAGCTCCCGGCTGTGCCCCAGTTCCCATAGTGCTGCGACGATGTGTCGAAGAGGTAGAGCGACGTGGTCTGGATATAATCGGCTTGTATCGTCTCTGTGGATCGGCCACCAAAAAACGTTTGCTGCGCGAGGCATTCGAACGTAATAGTCGTGCCGTGGAATTGACTCCCGAACATGTTCCTGATATCAATGTCATCACTGGTGTGCTGAAAGACTATCTAAGAGAATTGCCCGAACCGTTGTTCACGCGATGTCTCTTCCAGATGACAGTCGATGCATTGGGTGAGTTTATATCTAAAAATTTGTTATTGAATACGTCTGTGTACTTGATATTTTGAACTTTTCTGTCTGGTTACTTTTCCAGTAATATTTACTCAGTAAACTCTTTCGAGAGAGAAATACACTTTTTACTCATTACGAGTTCCCCCCTTCCATACTTTGGTAATTTTAGGATTTAGATTAATCGAAATCTGTTATGTTCTTTGCAGATAAAATACGAGGAATATTTTTTCTAGAGATTTTTAAACCTCAAACAAGTCAAGAAAGTGGGTTTTTAGCCGTTTTTATACCCTCCACCGTACTATGGAGGGTATATTAACTTTGTCACTTCGTTTGTAACTCCTCGAAATACTCATGTCAGACCCAACAAAGTATATATATTCTTGATCAGCGTAAAATTCTAAGTCGATTTAGCGATGTCCGTCTGTCTGTCCGTCTGTCTGTTGCAATCACGCTATCTTTCGAATCAATTGAGATAGATGGCTAAAATTTTGCACACATGTTTATTTTTCCAGTAGGCAGGTTAAGTTCGTAAATGGGCCATGCAGGTCCACGTTTTCATATAGGCCCCATATAACGGTACCTCCCGATATTCGGTATTTTGATGCTTTTAACGACATTATTCACGGGAATTGTTTCAAATTTGGTACTTGAAGTTCAAAATGGATACTACACTCTAAGACAGAAAATTGTCTGTGCAGGTCCACGTCTTCGTATAGCCCCCATATAACGGTACCTCCCTATATTCGGTATTTTGATGATTTTAGCGACATTATTCGCCGGAATTGTTTCAAAATTGGTATTTGAAGTTCGTTATGGAAACTCCAGTCTGTGACAGAAAATTGTCTATGCAGGTCCAGGTCTTCGTATAGGCCCATATACCAGTACCTCCCTATATTCGGTATTTTGACGAGTTTAGGTACAATACTCACCGAAGTTGTTTGAAATGTCGTATTTGAAGTTCGTAATGGATGCTACAGAATATGACAAAAAATTGTCTACGCAGGTTCAGATCTTCGCACAGCTCCGATATAACGGTACCTCCCTATATTCTATACTTTGATGATTTTAGCTACATTATTGGCGTTTATTTCAAGTTCCGAATTTGAATTTGGTAATGACTCATGACAAATAATGCCTGTGTGGGTCCACGTCGTATAGGCACCAATATAACGGCAATATTCGGTATTTTTTTAAAATTTTATCAAATTTTTTTCAGGATTTTATTTCCAAATTCGTTTCAAATGGTGGAGGGTATTCAAAGTTCGGCCCGGCCGAACTTACTGCTTTTTAACTTGTTATTCATTACGAGTTCCCCTCTTCCATACTTTGGAAATTTTAGGATTAAGATTAACCGAAATCCGTTCTGTTCTGTGCAGATAAAATACAAGGATTTTTTTGTCAAGAATGTGGGTTTTTAGCCCTTTTTAAAATTTGGTTATAAACATCCTTCCTTTTTACTTCACATTTTGGGAAAGGTGTCAAAATAAGAATTGTTCTACACCAAATTTCATTGTGAGTATACAATAGCCAGTCTGGGTTGTGAGAAAGGCCCTATAGACTCGTTAGTACTCGTTTATAGATTAAAAACCCACAGGAGTTTTGCGTTCTTGGGCCAAATGTTATTAAGGCTATTATATAGTTTTGACCATATACAGGAGGACCCCAATGGTTTGAGTCATATTTCACAATATTTCGGATAGAGCTTTGAAATTTAATAGAGATCATAGGATTACATTCACAGAAATAGGTCAAAAATCGCCTCGTTTTGAAATAATCCCACTGCAAGGATAAATCCGATTTCAAGTATTTTTATAATTAATTAATTTTGCCAAATTTGGGCAAGTTTTTACAAGAAATTATGAATATAAGTCCACCTTTTGGTACAGCAGTTATAAAATGATACTCCTGGTTTTAGTTATTCCAAGGGTGTTGGTCGACCAAATTATTCCTCATATTGTTATCTGAAATATTGCCGAAGATACTATATACATATAGGGTGAGATAAAAAACTGCAACAAAGTCATTTTATTCAATGAAAGCAAAAAATGTCGGAAATAACATCAAATTTTAGAATAAGTTTAGATTTGTTCGAATTAGTCACCTTTGGCACGAATTATTGTCTTCAAACGGTCAATGAAAACGTCACACGCTGCCCGAATGTTGCTCAGCGGCATTTTTGCCCATTCCCAACGAAGCGCTTGCTTGAGGTGATCGAGACTTTCGTATTTTTTAGTGACAATATTGCTTTCCAAAATACTCCAGACACAATATTCCAACGGATTGGTATTCGGAGATTTTGGTGGCCATTGTGCGCTGGAAATGAAGCGAGGAACATCATTTTGTAACCATTCTTAGGTGGCGTGTGCTTAGTGCGATGGTGCTGAGTCCTGTTGGAATGTCCAAGGTCTGCGGCCAAAATGATTGCTTGCCCAAGGATTTAATACACCCTCCAGAATATTCGGCATTTATTCTGATGCCACGAACAATAAATACGAGCGGAGAGCGGCCGACACCATCACCGCTTGAGTTCTGGCGGGCAACGGAAGGTTCACATTTTCAGCTGATCTCTTTGGCAAATAAACAAGATCATTTTGTTCGTTTACAAACTGCTGGACAACGAATGTTTTCTCATCGTAGAAAACCAAATACGGCAGTTCACCACTTTCGGCCAAGCGAAGCCACTCTTGAGCTCTTTTGAGTCAATTTTCTTTCTGTTGCGGTGTAAATTCTTGCACTTTTTGGAATTTCAATGGCAAGGTGGTCAGGGTATTATGTCTTTGTGCATTTGTTTGTAACAGGCAAATGGAAACGAGATAGACCCATAGTTCCTTTTGATGATCTGCATAGAATTACATTCTGAGTCGATTTATGCATGCCCGTCCTTCCGTCTGTCCGTCCGTCTGTCCATGTATATTTGTAAACAAAGTACAGTTCGCATTTATTGCCCGATCCAGATGATATTTTGCACAAATCATTTGTTTGGCCCAAGGACGAACCCTATTGAAATTAGAGATAATCGGTCAAAATTTAGATATAGCTCCCATATATATCTTCGTCCGATTTGCCTTTTATTGTGCACCAAACGTGTAATATCAGTCCAAATAGTATGGAATTTTGCACGTACGATCAGATTGGACCTGAAAATAAGTATGCCAAATTTGATCGAAATCGGTTCAGATATAGCAATAGCTCCCATATATATTTTTCATCCGATTTGTTATTTTTGTCCTCCGAAGCCGTAATATGCACTCTGTAACAACAATATTTGGGGAAATATATCAAATACAGCTCAGAAATACATTTGCTAAATTTTATCGAGATCGGTTCAGATTTGGATATAGCTCCAATATATAACCTTGTCTGATTTACCTTTGATTGTACACCAAACGTCTAATATTTGTCCAAATTGGATGAAATTTGACACTTACGACTGAATTTAGTCTAGAAGCTTGTATGTCAAATTTGGTGAAGATCGGTTCAGATATAGATATAGCTCCGATTTGTCATATTTGTTACCCACAGCCGTAATATGCACTCCGTAACAACGATATTCAGGGAAATATGTCAAATGCAACTCAGAAATATCTTTGCAAATATTATCGAGATCGGTTCCGATTTGGATATAGCTCCCATATATATTTTTATCCGATTTCAAATGAATTGTGCACCAAATGGGCAATACAAATCTGAATTTAAAAGATACAAATGCTTCGGTATATTTAGTTCTTTGAACTTTAAATTATAATTATAAGTGGTGTAGGGTATCATAAAGTCGGCCCCGCCCGACTTTACGACTTTCTTTACTGGTTTTTTTAATAATCCCTCTGCAAGTGATATCATGCACGCTATAGCAAACCATAACAGATTTAAAGCCAAATGTTGATAGGTGGTATGATTTACTTGAAATAAATTCTTTTGTTTACGTGAGCTCTTCCAAATATGCATAGTGGTGTAGGGCATCATATAGTCGGTCGCGCCCCACTTTTGACTTTTCCTTACTGGTCTTTATTAATTCTTTGAAATAATATATTTTTTTCTGCAGCTGTATGTCTACCTGATGATCCCGAAGGCAATGCAAAATTGATGCTTAGCATATTGGATTGCTTACCTAGAGCAAATAGGGTAAGTTCTGCAATTCAAATGATCGTCACTGGATTTAAAATAAATACATTTTTATATTTTAGGCCACCTTAGTATTTCTCTTGGATCACTTGTCGCTGGTCGTTTCCAATTCCGAACGCAATAAGATGTCAGCTCAAGCTTTAGCCACTGTCATGGGCCCACCGCTAATGCTACACTCGGCCAGCGCCCAACCCGGCTCTGAGATCGATCATGCCCAGCCCATTGCTGTGCTGAAGTATCTCTTGCAAATCTGGCCCCAGCCACAGTCGCAACATCATCAGAGTGCTGGTGTCGGAGCAGGTGGTAATCTCATTAGCAGCATGGCTGTGGGTGGCAGTACCATGGGTATGGGCCTCGGTATGGGTCTGGGCATGAATGCTGGCAGTATGAATAATATGCCGGGCGTTGTTTCAGGTAACGTAATTCTAGTATATTTCTTGTGTACGAAAAAAAAAAAACAGATTTTCATTTCTTTTTGTTACGTTTTGATTTTTGGGTCATAAACAAAAACTCGTTTGGACACATTTTGTGGCACAGAAATAAATAAATGAAAAAAAAAAAAAAACTCGTCACCACAACAAAAACACAGAAAGAAACTTAAACGTTTACTTAAATGCAATTTTATTTGAATTTTTTTCCTAAAGGGTTCCTATTTTTTTTTTTTTTTTTTGAATAGAACACCACCTCCACCACAACCCAAAGCTCACTGACAATTTTTTCACTTTTACACCAAACCGAATAACCAGAGAAAAAAATGCTCCAACACTGTTCCGTTTCCATTTCGTTCCGTTAACTTTTTCCTTGATTTTCGTTAACAACACAATGCAAAATAAAAGAAGAGAACTTTGTATTGGTTGTTTTGCGTGTTTTTCTCAATCTATCTATCTTTTTTGGCTCTCAACAACCCCTATCTCTTTCTATCGAACCATCTCTTTCAAAGAACCCATCTATCATTTTCCATCCATTTTTTATTAGTTTTTGAGTTCACACATATGTATACCACTTAAGTGTATAGTTAACAATGAAAATTGCAATAATATTGATTAATACAGAGTCCTATGTAGACAGGTCGGCGCGGCGAGTCAACAGGGCAGCGTGGAAGCAAAGTCAGTGCGTTGCAAGTGGACAGGCAGGCGTTCCTCATGGCGCAGCAGCAGCAGCTCATGGCGGCGGGCAATCTACTACGCTCGTCCACTTCGGTAACCAACATACTTTCTCAAGGCCAACATCCGCTCTCAGCCACAGTCAACAGTCATCTGTATCAATCAGTAGTGGGTCAGTTAGCTCAATCGCATCGAGCCTTGCAACAAGCGGTGCAACAGGTAACAACAAAAACACCACACACATCCTAATTTCCTTCTCCAAATAAAAAAATTCTTAACTTCTACTACTACAACTATAATTACAAAGTAAATAATTAATTTATTTTATAATTGTTTTTAAAACAAAACGAAGAAGAAAAACAGTATCAAGCTGGGGGGACAATGACACCGCCAAATACTTGACAAATGTTATGTTATAAGTGTCTAATCAAAATGACATAATATTGGTGTAATTTGTGTCTATTTATAGCCAATGAGAAAAAAAAAACCTAAACCCCCTATTCAGTTCCCCTCCCCAGGAAGGTCCACCTGTGACCTAACCTCAATCCAAATAATTATTAAATACCTTTTACGCAGCCAGACGAACATATCTAGAAAAAAATGTACAGTACTTTTCATGTAAGTAATATTTGGGCAATATGAGACAATTTTTACGATAAGATCTTACTTTTAGGGAAACCGAACTCCTTCGATCATAACATGACAGATTACTAGACATGTTCAAAATGCAAAAAATACAGGGTTGCCCATATTCAACGGACCCATGTTTTTTTTTTTAATCAAAGAAAAAATAAAAATTTGGCCGTTGGCAATGTTAATCATTTAATTTGTTCCAAGTAGATTTGTTTACATCAATTTTTGAATATTATATCTCTCAAATGGCCGCCTCTGGTGTTGATGACGTATTGTGCCCTTTTTGCTGCATTTTCCATCGTTTTTGCCAACATTTCGGCCGGAATAGCGGCTATTTCTTCACGAATGTTGTCCTTGAGCTCTTCTACGGTCCTTGGCTTGTTAACGTAAACCTTTGACTTCAAATATCCCCACAAGAAGAAGTCAGGCGGCGTCAAATCGGGCGAACACGGTGGCCAGTCCAAATCTCCACTTTTCCACATCAAACGGCCCAGAAACAAATTCTTCAGAAAATCGATTGTTATGCGACTTGTGTGCGGTGGAGTGCCGTCTTGTTGAAACCAGAACTGCCTCATACGCTTTCGACGAATAATTGACATCACAAAATTGGCCATCATGTCGCGATAACGCTCCTGATTGATGGTAACAGCATGGCCATTTTTATTTTGGAAGAATAACGGCCCAATGACCGTTTTCGCACTAACGCCGCACCAAACTGTGACTTTTTCGTCATGAAGAGGCACTTCTTGAATCTGCTGAGGATTTTCAGTGGCGTAAAAACGGCAATTTTGCTTTTGCTTACGGTCCCATTCAATGTGAAATGGGCTACATCGGACATGATAATTTTGTTACAAAATTGCTCGTCATCTTCGGCCATTTCGATGACTCTTTGGGCCCATTCCAATCGACGAGGCTTGTCCGCAGGCAACATTCTTTGCGCCAATTGAATTTTGTACGGGAACAAATGAAAATCAATGTGAATAATCCGTTGTAAAGTGGACCGAGCCATGCCCAACTGCTGAGAACGGCGTTTTTGGGATGTTCTTGGGGACCTCTCAACACTGGCTCGTACGGCAGCGATATTCTCGGCCGATCGCCTTGGTCGACTTTTATATGGCCTCTTCGGATTAGAAAGACCCTTACCAGTCGAAAATTTTTCGTATAAACGCTTAATGGTGTTCTTAGAAAGCGCACTTCTCACATTTCTTAATGTTTTAAAAGCACGTTGAGTTTTCACAATTGACTTCTTCTGTTGAATGTAAATTTCAATTATTTCAGAGAGCTCGCGAGGCGTGTTTTGGTTCATGGTAAAAATCTGCTTGGACTGACGCTTCAAACGCGGTATGTCATTAAGCGATGTGACATCTCTGTCAAAAGTTATGGCGTTGCCAGATGGGTCCGTCGAATATGGGCAACCCTGTATACGAAACCAAGAGGTTCTCTTTATAGAAGATCAGAAGGTATTTTTCGTTATAGAAGCCCAGAAGGTATTTTTCGTTATAGAAGGCCAAAATTTCTTCTCCGTTAAAGAGTAATATAAGACCAAAAGATCTTCTTCGCTATATAAGCCCTCCTTATAGAAGACCAGAATGTTTCCTTTGTTATAGAATACCAAGATGTTTCCTTTTTATATAAGGCAAATTCAGGGTGAGATAAAAAAACTGCAACAAAGTCGAACGCCATAATTTTCATTTTTTTTTAAATTTTATTGAATGAAAGCAAGAGATGTCGGAAGTAGCATCAAATTTTAGAATAAGTGTAGATTTGTTAGAATTGGTCACCTTTGGCACGAATTATGGCCTTCAAATGGCCAATGAAAACGTCATATGCTGCCCGAATGTTGCTCTGCGGTATTTTGGTGAAGCGCTTGCTTGGTATTGGTATCGCTTGGTATTTTTTAGTGCCAACCTTGCTTTCCAAAATACTCCAGACACAATAGTCCAACGGATTGTTATCCGGAGATTTTGGTGGCCATTGTATGCTGGAAATGAAGTGAGAAACCTCATTTTGTAACCATTCATGGGTGGCGCGTGCTGAGTGCGATGGTGCTGAGTCATGTTGGAATGTCCAAGGTCTGCGGCCAAAATGTTTGCATCCCCAAAGCCTTAATATTCCCTCCAGAATATTTTCGCCATAATATTCGGCATTATTCGATCGATTAATGCGAGCGGAGATCGACCATCGGCTGTTATGGCGGCCCACACCATCACCATTGCCGGCGCATGGGTTCTGGTGGCCAACGGAAGGTGCACATTTTCAGCTGACCTCCTTGGCTAGTAAACTTCGATCATTTTGTTTGATTACTAACTGCTGGACAACGAATGTTTTCTCATCGGAAAAAACCAAATTCGTCAGTTTACCACTTTCGGCCAAGCGAAGAAACTCTTTAGCTCTTTTGAGTCTATTTTCTTTCTGTTGCGGTGTAATTTCTTTGGAATTTCAAGGGCTTTACCCCGAGCTCATTTTTCAATATTTGCCGAATGGAATATTCAGCTCACGAGGCGTTTTTCGTCCATTTCGACGAGGGTTTCGTACAAGTTGCTTCTTTGCTTTTCGAACAATTTCTGCTGATGTTACTGTTTTAAGCCGTCCACTTCCTTGACGTCGGGCTACGCTACCAGTATCACGGTTACGGGCGTTGGTACGAGACACAAAACATTTATTCACATTCAAATGCTGGAGTGCTCTAACAATAGCCACCAAATATAAAGAAATCACACTATCACGCTTGAATTCCGTTACAAATATTTTTTTTCTGGAAAATTCTCACCAAAATGCTTTTGTACGCTTGTAAACAATAATATGAGCTGTCACTGGAATAATTTTAACAGCTGTCAGACGAGTGGCTTAGAAATGACAGCAGTCTAAAGTTGGTTGTAGTTTTTTCATCTCACCCTGTATATACTGAAGGGATTTCCACCATTTATTTAGCAAAACAGCCATTTTGTTGAGATCTACGTCTGAGAGCTTCGAAATACTAAAAATTAGTAAATACTATTGCAGATATAAAGTCTACATTTTTTAAAAACGAACTTTATTTAAAAGAATAATACTGAATTCTGCAAATTTAATTTAGAATTATAGCTGATATATGGGATTTATCAGGTCTTCTATAGACTCTCTTCAGGTTGGCTTAATATTCCCTTCAGGTTGTTTTTAAAGGTTTCCTTCAGGTCGTCTATAAATACTTTCTTCATGCCTTCTATAGACTCTCATCAGTTTGGCTATAAATATTCCCTTCAGGTTGTTTTTAAGGACTTCCTCCAGGTCGTCTATAAAGACTTCCTTCAGGTCGTCTATAAAAGAGTTCCTTCAGGTCGTCTATAGACTCTCTTCAGGTTGGCTATTAATATTCCCTTCAGGTTGTTTTTACAGGTTTCCTTCAGGTCGTCTATAGACACTCTTCAGGTCGTCTATAGACTCTCTTCAGGTATTCTGTAGACTCTTGTCAGGTCGTAACTTGTAAATATTGTATCTATTTATTAAGCTCTTTACACATCTTTATAATCGGATGAACATTGCAAAACTTTAATGTTGGGGTTTCCAACGAATTTGAAAAAAAAAAAACCGAAAACTTGAAGCCCTATCCTCATATTGACTATAACACTACAATTAATTCGTCTAGAAAAGTACTGTACACTTTCCTTGTTAAACTCCAATTCTCACACCCATTCCCTCAACAATAAAAAAATACCTGTTGACCGTTTGAAGAAAAATACCAAAGAAACCTAAATGTTGCTTTTAATTGATAACTAATAAGACTACTAATATTTTACGCAAATCAAATATTGAAACTTTCATAATGTTACTAATAACAATAACAATAACTGAAGCAAATTTGATGTGATGTGATGTACGACTGCAATCGGATGTAAGCATGATTGGCCCACTACTGGTAAACTTGTTGAAACAAATCAATCAAACAAAACTATCAAACAATCAAAACTACACATTAGCATTAGTATTCTATAAAAAAAAACAAAATCAGCAAAATAAACTAAACAAATATTTATCATTCCAAAACAAACTCAAAAATCATGCTAAACCAAACAAAAAAACCAACGCAACCATTTTACCATTTTCATCTATCTCAATGCCAAAATAACAAACAAAATCCACAAAAAATCATATCGATCAGACATCGATGTAATGCTTCAAATCCTTTTGTACATACATAACTGTCTAGTCCATACATATACATAGCTAGCGTTGTGCGTTAATGTTTTCTTTAAAATGGAATATGAAGAAAAAGAAAAACAGAGAACGCATGTTTTTTCGTTTTCTTTGCTAAAACACACAAAAACCAAACATCCATACATCCATTCATCGGTCCTTTTCGAACATCAAAATCACAAAATTTTGAAATTAAAAAACAAAAAAACAAATTTTTACTCATCTCAAGTAGTTTTAGATCCATTCAACTCATTCGAACATTGACATTAAATGATAATGTAAGAGTCGGAAAATTAAGTATTTGTTCACAAAATTCACTATTTTGTTTTTGCAAAATGGTCTGGCTTTATCCCTTTATTGTTGTTTTTATAAAAACAACGTTTGTTTATTAGTGGAGAACGATGGTAATGTTTACCAGGGGGTAAGGCAGGGAATACCTAGGTTTCGGAAAGAGCCACCAATCCTCATCAGTTCCCTTGTTTTTGCCTGGGATATTCTCCCCAGAAGTCATTTTAAAAATAACTTCTATGACAAAAAACTTTTTTTACCCAAGTGACGAGATCGTAAGCTCAATAGAAGAGGAACCAAAGAATTAAATAAAACTAAAATTCTCTTGGAAAGTCTTCTAAATCTTACAACCGCACTTATAAACATTTACATCTTTTCTCCACTTGTTATGCTTTCGTTCAGCCTGAACGAAGTAGCATAACCATGTAAGTTGGTTTTGTCTGTTACAACAAAAACGCCTTCGTCGACCGTGCCTTGTCTATTAATAGAACAGTGTGGCTTGTTTGTTCGGGATACCGTAGTATTTTGTTTTTTGTTGTAACAGACAAAACCAACTTACATGGTTATGCTACTTCGTTCAGGCTGAACGAAAGCATAACAAGTGGAGAAAAGATGTAAATGTTTATAAGTGCGGTTGTAAGATTTAGAAGACTTTCCAAGAGAATTTTAGTTTTATTTAATTCTTTGGTTCCTCTTCTATTGAGCTTACGATCTCGTCACTTGGGTAAAAAAAGTTTTTTGTCATAGAAGTTATTTTTAAAATGACTTCTGGGGAGAATATCCCAGGCAAAAACAAGGGAACTGATGAGGATTGGTGGCTCTTTCCGAAACCTAGGTATTCCCTGCCTTACCCCCTGGTAAACATTACCATCGTTCTCCACTAATAAACAAACGTTGTTTTTATAAAAACAACAATAAAGGGATAAAGCCAGACCATTTTGCAAAAACAAAATACTACGGTATCCCGAACAAACAAGCCACACTGTTCTATTAATTCACTATTTATAGTGAATTTTCACAAAATTCACTATTTACTATTTCACAAAATTCACTATTTATAGTGAATTTTCACATAACTAAATTTTTATTGTGAATATTCACAAAATTCATTATTTCTAGTGAATTTTCACAAAATTCACTATTTCTAGTGAATTTTCACAAAATTCACTATTTCTAGTGAATTTTCACAAAATTCACTATTTCTGGTGAATTTTCACAAAATTCACTATTTCTAGTGAATTTTCACAAAATTCACTATTTTTAGTGAATTTTTACAAAATTCACTTTTTTATAGTGAATTTTCACAAAATTCACTATTTATAGTGAATTTTCACAAAATTCACTTTTTTATAGTGAATTTTCACAAAATTCACTTTTTTATAGTGAATTTTCAAAAACAAATTCACTATTTTTAGTGAATTTTCAAAAAAAATTCACTATTTTTAGTGAATTTTCAAAAAAAAAATTCACTATTTTTAGTGAATTTTCAAAAAAAATCACTATTTCTAGTGAATTTTCACAAAATTCACTATTTCTAGTGAATTTTCACAAAATTCACTATTTCTAGTGAATTTTCACAAAATTCACTATTTCTAGTGAATTTTCATTAAATTCACTATTTCTAGTGAATTTTCAAAAAATTCAATTAAACCGTGGGGAATCTAGCAGATTATGAAAGTAGAGATAATAAGTAAAGAATCAGCTAAGTTCGGCCGGGCCGAACTTTTAATACCATCCACCATTTGGAAGGAACTTGAAAAATATAAAAAAACGGGATCATAGCAAGTTAAAATATTCCAGAAAAATTATTTCAAACAAAATTCTACTATAGGTCAAAATATACTAGAAGTCATCAACATATCAAAGACACATTTTAGGTTTAAAGCCGTACTTTGTGTGAGTTTGTGCAAAAATCTCCAACAAAGCATAACTTCATATATCAAGAAAATGTTTACATTAATATTGCAAAAAACATTTTTCCTTTGTCGTTTTTTGTTCGTAATAAAACTTTACTATAAATTTCAGGATAAACCATATCTCTAATCCTATTAGTCCTATTAGTTTAAACAAAAAAAAAAAAAACAAAAACAAAGGGAATAAATTCGAAATGTATGTAGTACTAGTGAAAATTATGTACGGGTGAGATAAAAAAAAAACCTGCAACAAAGTCAAACGCCATAATTTTTACATTTTTTTAATTTCATTGAATGAAATAGTTAATCAAACAGGATCAAATTTTTAAATATGTTTAGATTTGTTCGAATTGACCACCTTTGGCACGAATTATGGCCTTCAAACGGCCAATGAAACCGTTACACGCTTCCCCAATGTGGCTCTGCGGTATTTTGCCCCATTCCCGTCGAAGCGCTTGCTTGAGTTGATCGAAACTTTGGTATTTTTTTGTGCCAACTTTGCTTTTCAAAATACTCCAGACACAATAGTCCAACGGATTAGTATCCGGAGATTTTGGTGGCCATTTTTTAACCATTCTTGGATTCCAAGAAATCTAAAATCCAAAAATATCCAAAATGTTGTAGAGGGGTGAATTTGTCTGCTCTTGGCAATGTGAACATTCAAAACACCGATACACGTGTCTTTTATTTTTAGCTCAACTTTCATAATCTGCTTTATTTTTCACGTAATTATTTTTTGTGTTGCTAGTGTTAGCATGTTTCAAACGATCATTCATCCATCTAAACATTTTCATCTTCATCTTCAATTGGAAAGTGGATAAAATTGGCACTAAACCTAACCTTGTGACTGGCACCAAACCGACATTTCTTAACAATTCCCCCACCTCCATTTCGTACGTTGCACTTGTTTCTCTTTTTATATGACGTTGCTATTGTTGTTGTCTGTAGTAAATAGTAAATTGTGTTTTTTTTTTATTGGATATGGTTTTCTTCCCAACACCAACAACCAACCTTGCGGCTGTAATGTGCAAACAAACAAATAAAAAAAATTGGGAAATTAAAAAAAATATTTATTGAAATTTTAACACGCATTTGTTTTGTTTTTATAATGCACCTACTGTGTAAGCTTTACAACCAACCAACCAACCACCACCACTTCCACTTTTTCCACCACACTCATTTTCCTTTAGTTGTATTTCGTTATAAACATTTGCCTGCGAGTTTGTAGCTAATATTTTGCCTTTCTTTGGAATATCTCAATTTCATTACAGCCCCATCCATTGGTGGACTCAGTGGTCTCGGCAATTCCCGACCCATCGCCACTGCCCATTCCCGGCACACCCTCCCCCGGCAGTAGTTCAGCGTCAACAGCATCGGGATCCGGTTCGGGCAAAAGTAAATACAGAAGCCTGAAAACTCCATACGGCGACTCATAACACTTTCCCTTTACTCTTTTTCCCTTTCTCATCAGGTACGGATACAATAAAACGAGGCATCTCACCGGCTTCCGTTAAACAAGTCAATATCCAGGAGTCCGTCAGCTCGTATTCGCTCAGTCAGAAAAAGTCCGATAGAGATTCACTCGATACCCAACACACTACAAATAATGGCCACCACCTACAAATCAACAGCAACAATAATAACACCAATCCATATGCAACACCATCACCAACAGGCACATCATCCGGCGGCACAGCTGCTCATGGGGCGGCATTGACGGCGGCAGGTAGCAGCACGCGCAAAGGTGTTGATTTTTACGAACCGCACAAATCTCAGACCAAGAGCGACGATGACAATAATGGTGTGGTGAGCAGCAGCAACAGCAGTGGCGGCATCGGCGGCATAAGCAGTAAATATGGCGGCGATTCGGCTTACAAGTTACGAAGTGCCTATGCTTCGTCGGGGGGTAGCGGCCTGGACCACAAGCCCACCAGTTCGCTCTCCACCGAAGAGTACAAGGCCATGCGCAACAAGTCCAGTGCATCGTCATCATCGGCCTCGTCCCAGGCCACGGTTTTGAGTGCTGGTTCGGCAGGCACTTCGGCAACGACCACCTCTTCGGATGATTCCGATGATTTGGTTTCATACAAATCTTCAGCTTCGACCAATGCCCTATTGGCCCAGTCCCAGGCCATGACCACGACACAGCTAATGTCCAAATATTTAAAGCGGGAACCTAGGGTACAATTTACACCCATCAAATCACCGGATTCTCCCTCGCCACCAGGTGGCAGCAGTCTACCCAGAGGTACGTACCATCTTACCAATAGCAGCCGAAATATACACAGCGATATCAGCAGCATTGGTGGTACGGCCACTTCGGCCAGCTGCAACAGCCTGGGTGGAAAATACACTCTCGACAAAAGCGATAGGGCAGCATCTCCATCGAAGTCAGCACTCTCCAGTAGCCTCAAGGAAACGCCAGCACTGGGTTCATCAGTCTCGGCCACATCGCCAGGATCTGCAATGTCAACAATTTCAACTGGACGCCGTCTATTCGATAGCCTGGCCTCCGAAACCTCCGACTCAGCAATCAGCCGTTCGAGGACAGCTACATCCACCACATCATCATACAATAACGACATTAGACACTCGGTAGCAAGTAGTAGTACTCATATTAGCAATAAGTCCACAACAAGCTCAGAACATCGTTCATTCGGTAGTAGTCTCTTTAGCAGCGGCACTGAACGCAACAGCGGCAGCAGTGCCGCCTATTCGAGCAATGGCTCAAATGGCTCGACCCACTATGGTACATTGCCCAAACAAAGTATCTCGGGGGCGACTCTGTTCAATACATCGGCCTCAACATCATCGGCAACGGTCGGTGGTGCAGCGGGTGCATCTGGCACGGCCAGCAGCAGTGGTGTTAGTTCCATGTCTGGCTCAGCCAGTAGTTATGATTTTTATACAAATAATTCCTCCTCCTCCTCCTCGGCTTATTCAGGTTCAAGTAGCGTATATGGCACGACATCTCGACCCTATGCCAATGGTGGTAGTGCCGCCTCATCGAATGGGGCTGGTAACTATCACACATTGGGTACATATCGTGTCCAGTATGCTGCCACAAATCCATTTCTAGATGCATTTGATGCTCCCTCGGAAAGTACGTCCACCACCACCACGACGACGGCAACCAATGCCAGAAATGGTAATGGTGGAGGTGGTAGTGGCACGGCCAGTAGCAGCGGCAGTGATCATCGTTCATCAGCGATGGCTGCTTTCCATTCGAGTGGTGGTGGCAGTGGCAGTGGTAGTGGTGGTGAGGTGAAAAATGGTAGTGATGAATATGACGATCTCAAATAGGTAACAACAACGACGATGGAAAAGAGACGATGGCATTCTCCAATTGTTCCTTGTCATTTATCACAACTAAAAAACAGTTACAACAACATTAACAAATAACAAACATGACTCAACGGCAACAATAACAACCATCAATGTAGTAATCAAATCAATTAGTAATCGTTCATATATTCCAAAAAACACTCACACACACACATCTAAATCAAATCGAATTTCATACAACATATTTGCTCACAGAACTTCATTAATAGAATAAACTCATCAACAGAGGCCGCTGTAAAAACATGGTAAGGGAAGTGACAAAAATGACTCATTGTGATGTCATTGAATGTGTGACAAAAATGTTTCTTCGTAATGAATAATATAACGCTAACATTTTGAAGATCGGTCCATCTTAGGGCTTTTTTTGTAGCCCCCACCATTCTATGGAGGGTATATTAGCTTTGTCATTCCGTTTGCAACTCTTTGAAATATTCATAATAGACCCTACAAAGTATATATATTCTGGATCAGCGTAAAATTCTAAGACGATTTAGCGATGTCTGCCTGTCTGTTCTAATCACGCTATCATTCGAACGAATTAAGATAGATGGCTAAAATTCTGCACAAATTTGTATTTACAGGTTAAGTTCGTAAATGGGTGGTATCTCCCGATATTCGGTATTTTGATGGTTTTAGCAAAATCATCCAACCCAATTGTTTTAAATTTCGTATTCGAACATTGAAATGGGTACTACAGCCCATGCCTAAAAATTTCTTATGCAGGTCCACGTCTTCGTATAGCGACCATATACCGATACCTCCCTTTATTCTGTATTTTAATGATTTTTGCGACATTATTCACCGGGATTGCTTCAAATTTCGTATTTGAAAATTTTAATGGGTACTGAAGCCTAGGGGAAAAATTACTAAACAAAGTAAAGTTCGCATTTATTGCCCTATCCAGATGAAATTTTGCACAAATCATTTGTTTGGCCCAAGCACGTACCCTATTGAAATTGGAGATAATCGGTCAAAATTTAGATATAGCTCCCATATATATCTTCGCCCGATTTGCTTTTTATTGTGCACCAAACGTGTAATATCCGAATTGTATGGAATTTTGAACATACGATTAGATTGGACCTGAAAATAAGTATGCCAAATTTGATCGAAATCGGTTCAGATATAGCTATAGCTCCCATATATATTATTCATCCGATTTGTTATTTTTGTCCTCCGCAGCCGTAATATGCACTCCGTAACAACAATATATTTGGGAAATATATCAAATACAGCTCAGAAATACATTTGCTAAATTTTATCGAGATCGGTTCAGATTTGGATATAGCTCCCATATATAACTTCGTCCGATTTATCTTTGATTGTGCACCAAACGTCTAATATTTGCCCAAATTGGATGAAATTTGGCACTTACGACCGAATTGAGTCAAGAAGGTAGTATGCCAAATTTGGTGGATTTGCTTTTTATTGTGCACCAAACGTGTAATATCAGTCCGAATTGTATGGAATTTTGAACATACGATTAGATTGGACCTGAAAATAAGTATGCCAAATTTGATCGAAATCGGTTCAGATATAGCTATAGCTCCCATATATACTTTTCATCCGATTTGTCATATTTGTTACCCACAGCCGTAATATGCACTCCGTAACAACGATATTCAGGGAAATATATGAAATACAGCTCAGAAATATCTTTGACAAATTTTATCGAGATCGGTTCCGATTCGGATATAGCTCTCATATATATTTTTTTCCGATTTCAAATTATTTGTGCACCAAATGGGCAATACAAGTCCGAATGTAAAATATAAAAATGATTCGGCATATTTAGTCCCTTGAACTTTAAATTATTATTATAATCACAGCGTGTATGATTGAATTCTCCATAAAAACTTTTCATTGTTATGCGCAGCTCTACTAAATTAGCAAAGTGGTGTAGGGTATCATAAAGTCGGTCCCGCCCGACTTTAGGATTTTCTTTACTGGTTTAATTTGTTTTATACAAATAGGCTGTTATTTTACATTTGTTGATCTTAATGGATGGTTGATAGCATTTGATATAACTCCCATAGAACCCTACCAACGATTTGAGTTCTTTGAAGGATTTTTACTATGTTTTAATCGATTTTACGGAAATTTCATCTTCAAGTTTTGGATTGGCTAAAAATGTTTAACATTGGATATATTTTTGGTATAGCCCGCATATAACATAGAATAACATGGAATTGAAATATTAAACAGTTTAGATAACATTTTTGAATGAAAATCGAGGCATCTCATTTATCTTTCTCGCTTCTTAATCTGTTTTAAAAATGAGGGAACATATCAAATAAATGAGAACCATTTGTTACATTAAATTTTTAATAACTCTGAGAGGTAGCGGACATAGCATTAAGGCAGTATTTCAGTTGTTTTACGAGACAGCTTTAACTCTTTGTTGTACCATGAGAAAACATCGAGGAAAAATTGAAACCTATTCAGAGTCTCACTTGGTTTGGCTAGTGCCAAAGATTTTATGATATTGATGGACTTTTAAGTGTTGGGTCCCTCAAAGGGATGTAAACGTCTAAGCAAAATATGTACATATTCTTGCCAATAGACCAGCTTTTATTTCAGCTCAAGTCTACTGAATATGCAAAAATTTTTAAATTTCTTCCATTTATCTTTCCCATTAAGATTTGGGAAAGGTAGAAGGTTTTACGTTTATCTTCCTCAGAAACGAGATATTGTGACCGTCATTTGAAATAAAATTTCTGAAAAGAGTCTTTTTTCACAAAGTCAAAGGAAAATTTCGAATAATTATAACTCTTATAAATGGTGAAATAACGAGTCCGATTGTCTTCAAATATCACTTACCCCAATATTATTGTTGACAAAAGATCTGGTGCGAAGATGGTATACATCGGTATACTCCTTCTAGTACCTCCCCCACAACGGGTCAAAATTTTGAATAACCATGAAAGTCGCAAAACGCGAAATGAGCATCCGATTCTTTTAAAATTCCATACATCGCAATACTTGTAATTAAGCAAGATCTGGTATGAAGATGGTAGATATGGGACCACTCCTTTTGGTACCTACGCCACAACGGGTCAAAATTTTGAATAAATATAACGTTTATCAAATTTGAATTAAGATTCCGATTATCTTCAAATTTCGCACGTTTAAATACAGGGTGAGATAAAAAACTGCAACAAAGTCAAACGCCATAATTTTGAATAAAAGCAAAAAATTTCGAAAATAGCATCAAATTTTAAACTAACTTAAGATTAGTTCGAATTGGTCACCTTTGCCACGAATTATGGCCTTCAAACGGCCGAAGAAACCGTCACACGCTGCCCGAATGTTGCTCTGAAGCAACTCTTTAGCCCTATTGAGTCTATTTTCTTTCTGTTGCGGTGTAAGTTCTTGTACTTTTTGGGATTTCAATGGCTTTTTCAATATTCTCCGAATGAAATATGGCGACATGTTCAGCTTACGAGCCATTTTTTTGGTCACTGCGACGCGGGTTTCGATCAAGTCGCTTCTTTACTTTTCGAACCATTTCTTCTGATGTTCTGATGTTTTCTTCCGTACACTTCCTTGACGTCGGGCTACGCTACCAGTATCACGGTAACGAGCCATGGTACGAGACACAAAAGATGTATTCACATTTAAATGCTGAGTGCTCTAACGATAGCCTCCTGTGGTTTTCCAGTCAAATGTAAAAAAATCACACTATCACGCTTGAATTCCATCACGAATAACTTTTTTTTCTGGAAAATTCTAACCAAAATGCTTTTGTACGCTTGTAAACAATTTAATGAGCTTTCACTGGAATAATTTTAACAGCTGTCGGAAATGACAGCAGTGTATTGTAAATGTTTTAAAAAATAACTCTCATAAAACGCTAACTTTTCGAAATATTATCAAATATCTAATATAAAGTCGATATAAAATCCAAATGTGATACGTTTTAATATTTTCATCACATTGTCATGTCAGATATGATATTAAAAACATTGGTCCACTTCTTCGGAACCTCTCCTATGAAGGGTAAACAGTTTAAAAAATCATAGCGCAAGTCAAGATATATTTAAATCACCGAACATTGGCTGAGGGCTGTCGGAAATATCGACTGATTCCATTTAACTTGTTTCTCAAAAATATTTAATTTTTTTTTTTCATTTTCTCCAAAAGCCACGTCATTATTGTCACTTCCTTTTTCTTTAGGGTAATTCCATATTTCCATAAAATTTCTCATCAAAAAACATTACTAGCATTGCAAATGACATCATTATACCACATTCATCTGAATTTCAGAACTTTACACACGCACACTCCACATTCCACTCATTATTATCATAATCATCAAGAACAACAATAAACACCATAATACGAAAATAAATCAGCCCAACAACAGAGAAAACAATAATTTTTATTCGTTCATCTAACAAAGAAAATAAAAACAACTTAAACTATAATAACAACAATAATAACAAACAAACAAAAGAATGGGAAAAATGCTAGTATTACATTTTGAAATAATCTCCTTTTTTAAACATTTACAATTTACATACAAATTTACAGTAAACATATACGAATAAACAAGCAAAACAAATATTAATGAATAATATTTAACGTAATGTATTGTAATCTTTAAACAAAAACAACAAAAAAATTACAAAAGAAATATTTAAGGCAGCAAATTTAACAATTCTAAAAAAACATAAACATCATAACTTTTTTTATTTAAAAATATATATTAAAAAAATTAACATTCAAATCACATAACAATACATAACAACCACAACAAAGAACTGACTCACACACATTAACACATACAAAACATTCCATACATCCATAATTAAAAATATATATGAAAAAAAATGACTACAGTAATTGAAAACCAAAAATAATATGAATTATAATAAGAAATGAAAACAGAAACGAATTAACGAATTTTTCAAATAGGTAATATGATGATGATATGTGGCAATCCAAATCAGACAACTACTACTACTACAACTAATATTCATACTACATACAAACAACAAAATGACAAACAGAAATACAACAAAAAACAACAACAGAAACTACTACTATTCTAATTATGATTATGCATT